ACACACACACACACAGAAAGGTGTACTTAAAATAACAAAATACTGAGATAATTAGTGTTAAGGATTCTACCTCTGGTAACGTTAGAAAGCTTAAAAATGGTTTGATGGGAGTTTGAGAAAATTTTTTGTTCGTTGTTCTCTCAACAGATCAGTCGTTTAGAGAACATGGACGACTCTGCGAAGGAATACACACAGACCCGCCATCACCTACGAGAAAACACTCAAAACCTTTCTACAAGAATCTGTATGAGGCACAGGTACTGAACACACACACACACACACACACACACACACACACACACACTGCAGTCATAGATTAAATCACATCACTTCAACATATTGATCCAAGGACTATTACTGATTGTCAGGGAGTCTAAAACTCTATCTGCCCTTAAATCCACGTACTTGTCAAATCCACCAGAGATTTTAATGTATTTTGGTCAGACAGTAAAAAATTACATATAATTCCTGTCTGGGGACAAAAATCTCAAACTATCTAAACTGTGTGTTAACGTATATCATGAAAAAAACCCTTAATATAAACTGAGGATTGCTTAAATCTATTTATTTTGCTCACAGATCAGATGTTTTAAATATACCTCCAACCCCTTCATTATTAATGTGAAAGCAGTAACTTTGAAGAATTTTGAGCATTTTGGTCCTCTGACCTTTTTCCCCCATTTTCCCTTTATTTAACCAGGTAAAAGTGTTGTTGAGATTTAAATATCCTTTTTAAGAGACAACAAAATATGCACACAACATAAACAATGTAAAGACAACTGTCACACATTATAAAAAGATGTTTAAAAAAGTTTCCAAAACTATCAAAATGAAGTGAAAACAGTAAATTTAGAAGCAAAGGAAAGTCTAATATCCCCAAAATATAATAAGCATGAGTGCAGAATTATAATAAAGTAATAATTATAATGTTTCAGAAATTATTCAGAGCAATTTTCTAAGTGTGTCAGTCAAAGCTAAGAGATAAAATAAATTAAAAACCTTTCTGCTTCATTTTAAATCCGCTGACCTCCCTCCTCTTCCTCCTGCAGCTTCCTCTCCTCCAGTTGTCTGCGTCCCCCTCCTGCTGCCCCTCCTCACTTTGATGGAGCGTCCGTCAAACACTCCAGAGGGGGCGGAGCTCTGGGAGACCAGCGACCAGGGCTGCGACATTATGCTGCGCCACCTTGAGGCTGCACGTGACATCGCACACAACTCGCAGAGCTACACGGCCAACGCACAGAAGATCTTACAAGGTTGAAAACCCCAAAAATACATGTTTTCATCTCAGTTTTTGTCTCTAAATGTTTTTCAGTATCGTAAAGTTGCTTTCTATGTTTCTGTCTCCAGAGTTCCAGTGCGATGACGACCTGCTGGAGGTGTTTAAAACAGACTTTCAGCTGCGGCTGCTGTGGGGAAGCCGTGGAGCTTCAGTCAACCAATCAGACCGCTATAACAAATTCAACCTCATCCTTATTGCGTTGTCACGGAAACTGGAGCCGCCACCCAAAACACAAACCTTAATCTGACTTCACCTAAGCATCAACTCTACCACATACGGAAAAGGCTTCAGTACAACATCAGGTGGATCAGAAACCAGCTCCGAAGAGAAACAGACTGTAACGAGGAAGAGACGAGCTGCCGTCACTGTGGAGGTAGTCTGAGGTAGAGGAGTTCAAGATCAAACCTCACACACAAACTCTGCTCACCTGCAGCTGACTTTTTATTTTATTTTACATCAGTTAAAGAACGAATCTGTCTTTATTGTTGTGTGTGTCAGGGGCTCATAACATCAGTATCCAGTAAAACAATGTAAATCTGCAACTTGTTTAAATCACCTACAGCCTAAAATATATCATACACACAACTATGTGACTTGTATAAATACATGTAAAAATACACACACATACAAACAGAATCTGAAACATACATGTAAGAGGACCTACAAAAAGACAACCTTTTAGGAACTGAGATAAACAGCTCTAAGCATCGCCACAATCTGAAATATAACGTCTTATAAAATGAGAAAGCAGCGCTCCAAAAACCTTAAAAAACATCTCAATACTAAGTTTACCATTTTATTTCCTTAAACAGACACGTTTCTGCAGTCCAGAAACTGTAGTCCTAAAGAGGATAGAGATCATCCCTGTAGGTGTTCTGACCTTTACTACATGTTGACTCTATTTAACACAATTCTGTTTAAGCATGTCCTTTAATATAAAAATCACCAACATTGGACAGACTGTACATTGTTAATACAGATACTGTATGTCCAATTTTTTTATCAATTATGTTCTACTCAAAGATACTGAGATCCAGCAGCCACAGGTCACCAAAACTCCTTAATGTTTTGATGACAAAAATCCCCTAAAAAATTGTGAAACTGCCCTTTTTAAAATGATAAATAAAATAAAATTTGTGTGAGAACGGAGCCGACAGGAGAGGCTTAAAAGGCTCTTGTTTTATTTCTATACTGACATTCCAGTTAATCGAGACCATGTTTCTTCAACAAGAGTAAAAGGAGAAAAATAGCAAATAGCTCTAAATTCTGTACAAAGTACACTAAGAGGAAAATGTACTTTCTTAGTCAGCGTCTGCACATATTGTCTAGATAGAAATAATAAATATATTTAACAGTTGAATGAGTGATTAAGAGTCCAACCTGGGCTTTTGATACAAAACCACCTGACCACTTTGTTGCTTATTTATCAAGCAAAAAATAGTCTACAGCTCAAATATATCGTATTTTTCCTTTCCCAATACCAATTCCTATACCTGAAGTCTGCGTATTGGCTAATACAGAGTACCGGTTCAATACGAATCATGCCTTTGCCATTTGGAATTTCTCTAAACACAAGTTCACTTGATATTGATAGCGATGTTCCCACAAGGTGTTTTTTTCCCCAATTCATTGGATGGAAAAAGGTCAACAGTAAATCCTTTTACTTACAAACGGAGCAGAAAATCTGACTTCTTCTTTCTGTACATGTGTAAATGTAGCTACTTTTCTTCCAGGGATTCTCTTGACAGATGAAAATATTTTTGTTTCTGCATAAACGTGAATGAATTGATTAAAAAACTGAAATATGTTAAAGCGTGAGAGTAAAGTTGTACATATTTGAAATATTAGCATGTTAATAATTGACTGTACATATTTTCTGTAGAAGACTGACTGTAAGGAAAAAATGTGGCTGATTTTAATGTTTATATTATGAACTACTGTAAGATTGAATAAATATGGTGTACAATCTGTGTAATATACTGAATATGCTGTGATATCACATCCTGGTTGAAAACTTAAAAACTGAACACAAAGAACATGTCTAACGGTTTGTGTGATGTTGACACTATTATAGAGTTATTTCACTCTTGAATTCATAAAAACTATTAAGCTAAACGTCCCATCTGGTTAAAAGTCACAGCTGAATTTAAAATCATCAGAGAAAACAAACCCACTTTTCATTGCTGCTTATTTTATTAGAACAATATCTTGGAAGAAGAAAACAAAAAAAAGCATTTTGTTCACAATGTGTCCGACAACATTCAAAGTAAAAAGATGTGCACAACAATATGGAAAGGAAGTACTGCCATTGGTTATTACAACATATACAACATGGTAAAAACACACATTTACATGGATGTTAATATCCTGCAGAATCACTTGTACCTGCTGTTGATTTCATTTACTGTGATTGGATGTTGATGCTGATTAAAAAGAAAGGCTTTTCATCTGGAGTTAAACAGCTGAAGAGAATCTGTACATGGTCGGTTTCCCGCGGGACAAACGTGATGGTCGGAGTTTAAAAAGAAGAGGAATGTAGAACAAGTCGTCGTGTTTTTGCCGAGTGGTAAACAGCACCACGCTCACAGTAGTTGGCAGGTTTTTAATGTACAAGAACTTAATGCTAACTTTATCATATTTAGCATCTCAAAGCTGATTTGTTATGTATTTTTGCATAATATTCAGAATTACAGCACAGTGGCTTTTATAATACACAGCTCACAGTTTTTATGTTTTAATGCTAACAAAAATTAACCGTTAATGGGACTTTTGGTTAAGTTTCAAAGCTGCTGCGTTACCAGTCATCGTGTATTCTTTGATTAAAAAGGGACAGTGCACTCCAAACGAAGTGAAGAAATTTAAGGGTAAAAATTAAACATTTGGAGCGTCTGTTTGAGAGTTCGTAAAAATGCCTTGCAAGCGTCCTCACAGCAACATAAACACTAACTTATCAGGACACAGAGGTGGCTTCTGTATATCACTGCCTTTATCTTTGTCACATCAGAGGATGATAATCTCCACTACGAATAGCTCTTGTATGCCTGAGTGCGCGTTTACAATTACAAGCAGGGTTTAGTGCTAAAGCTGGTATTATTATTATTTTTTATTATTTAACAAAAATGCTCACTGGTTCGAGCTTCTCATATGATTTGCTGCCTCTCTGTTTTACATCATTAATGGAATATCTTTGGGTTTTTGACTGAACGAAACTAGCATTGGAAGACATTGCCTTGGGCTCTTACAACTTTTAATAGGCATTATTCATTATTAATTTCTTTTAACATTTTATAGACTAAACATTCAAAAATAATAAATCGATATCGAAGAACAATTTGCAGCCCAAATTGCTTTATAACGGTAGGACCAAAACAATCTATGCAACACTTGACTGCACATATCTTATATCATAGTTTAGTTTTTAAATGTAGCCATGATATCATATATGTGCGCGAAACAAAAAGCACTGATGGATCTGCCAGCTAGCCTGGCTCTGTCCAAAGGTAACAAAATCTGCGTCTTCTTTGCTTAATCTGCAAAACGTGTAAAAATGACGGCTGTGGAGAGCGATTTTCTCTCAATATCAGACAGTTTTTTCCGATGCAAACTCGCAGGCGGGAGAGGAAACGTGGAGTAGTGTGAGTGAGAGTTCAAGTAACAACACCTACAGCATCATTCTGTACATTTCACAGCTTCATCGAAGAAACACAGATTTACAACGAAGGCGTTGCCATCTGATGTTTAGATCGACCAAAGCAGAATCATTAGTGGCATTTTTGTCTTAAATAGCATCAAAAGGAAGTCAAACTTTACTTCAGATGTGTAGTTTTGTTAGTCTATTGAAGAGATACAGTGAATGGTTAAAAAAGAAAATCACCAGAGAGATGAATGAATTCAAAGAATCTAGAAAATCATGCAAAGAAAGTTGGTCAATGCTCGTCAAGAGTTACAAAAAGAGTATAAAAACCATCAGGAAGAGAGAATTACTAGAGCTTGTTTTTTTTGTTTTCTCGCTGCTACGCAGTGGTCATTCATAAAGTTCACACCTCCTTCAGCAGACAACACAGACTTTCATTCATTCACTCATTCATTTACTCATCCATTTATTCAGATTCAAATGCTGTAGTACTTCAGGGCAAAGTGCATCAGTTCAATTCAAACCTTGTTGTCTCTCATGAAGAGTGTCGATCAAACAAACCTAAACAATCACCATGGAAACACATTCAGTATGACATAAAAGATGTTAATATGTACAAATCATTCAATGGTAAAAAACATCACACATGTAACACAGGCACATGTACACACATTTACATGTTAACCTGTATGGAAGACCAAACACCCAGAAACAGACACGGTTTTTGAACTGTTTGGCTTTCCATAGATGTGCGAACATGTGTGCGTGTGTCGTCACATTCACTAATAAAACTGATTAAATGGGGGGGAAAAAAGGTTTCAAGGAGATGTGGGTCCCCGAGAAGGCGGGGCTGAACCCAGGTGGCTGATGTAGTCAGGCGGACGAGCAGACACATCCAGATATGTGTGTAAGTGTGGAACAATCCCTCCACGGTAAAACGACATGAAGTTTTAAGGCAGAGTCCTAGACACCGGAGCTCCTCTTGATGTTTGGTGTTATTAAAAAGTGTCCCAGTTCTGCTCGAGCTGAGCTGTGGTTCGGTGAGGGAAGGCTCCCATCTGCTGGTCGACTGGTGGAGTTACAACCCCCGTAGGAAAAAGAGAGGAAAGGTGGGAAAAGAAAGGCGGTAGAGAGGTCCTGTATTCACCTGATAGTCCTGCTATCTAAGAGCAGCTCTGATTCCATCCAGCTGCTGTTTGGAAGATATTTAACGCAAACAGAAATCATTCACATGCTGGACTTCCATTCAAACGTCACAATGGCATTCAACATACAACTCGGCCAAAAGTTACACACACACACGCACACTTTTATAAAGTTGCAGTTAAAGTCATGGATGAAACATTCGATCATGTTTGGGACACATTTAGGACACGTTAAGGACATGCGGCTGTATGAGGGTGAAGGCAGGCATGAGGAGCAGAGTGGCACAGGCAGGCAGGCAGACATCACCAACAGAGCACAGATTATGATGATTATGATTACAGGGATGAGTTGGAGAAGTGCAGCACTGACTTTGTTAGTGGCAGCAAATACTGCGAACACAACTGACCCTTAACAAACAAACCCTGACGTTCTTCTGAACTTTAAATTAATGATTTCCCCTCATGAGGAGCTGGACCAGAAGTCTGGGAGAAAAGTTTGATTTAGAGAATATGGCAAGTGGAAATATTTTAATATTTTCCAAAAAATATTTAAGGATAACCAGCATGTGGGGAAAAAATTGTAAATTGAAAAATCCTCACTACAGAGCGAAGGTGCCATTTTATTTTAACTCGAGGGTCCATTCCTGAACTTCAAATAGCCGTTTGACCAAGAAATAGCTCATCACAAGGTTCACTTACTTGATATTTCCCGAAGCTTTCAGCCACATCTCGTAGCTTTCTTCAGCAGAAGAAGTTGCTCAGTTGCCATGTCATCGTTTGTGATGAGAATTTCTTGTCAAAATGCTATTTTATAGTTTGTAGAGCCTGTTCATTTAAGTGAAAAAGGCTAAAAAAAAAGCTACCAAAAGAAGCTTGAATGGTAGCCACTACAAACACCTTTGAGAAACTTTTCCTCCAACACTTTGACCAGCACCTACAGAGGATATTTAATTCATGAATGGCAAACTATCCTGTTAAAGCACACAGCAGGCAGTGAATCAGTGAGGTGGGGAGATGCTCCTGTCCTTCATTAAAGGCTAAAATCACACTAAGTTAGAGAGAAAAACCTGCTGTTGTACCTGCTCTCTCTGAGCTGAGTACACGTGTATCTTTTACCTCCAGTGAGTGGCGTCATAGCAGTTGCTGTTAAATGGCCTATTTAGACCTGGTACTAACATGCATCTTGGGTGATCCGATCACAAGAGGACAGCTCTGAGTACAGGTGTGAATGCATTAAGACACATTAAGGTGTCATTTCTAAGACTACATTCAGAGGTGGTCTGGGCCGCATGTGACCACATTCTTTTAGCATTGTGTCCTGGGCCACATCGAAGGACCGCCTACTCAACTGACACACTTAACACGCTGTCTGGTTTCCATTTGCTTCACTGTAATGCAAATTAACTGTTTGGGTACTCTTACCTCCAAGAGAAGCAGCAGATGTGTGTGAACACTGAGAAACTAATAACTGCAATATACTCCTAATCACCCTTTTCTTTAGAGTTGTTGAGTAAGGAGAAACTTTCTAAAGCTTAGATATAAAATCCCACAGCCACCTCAGAGTGTCTCTCCTGGAGGGCTGATGATGTGGCACTGAACTAAAAAACAAACGAAGTCTTCATATTGAACAGCCAAGAGGAGAGTAATAATGGGTTACAGCCCTATAGTGTTTATTTGTGGCCACACAAGACGCATCTTAATGCCAGGTGTGAACTAACTTCCTTTGAGCTACCCACTTGTAACTGTATCACCAGAGACGCATGTTAATATCAGGTCTAAACAGGGTCAGAGGTAAAAAAAAACAAGGTTACATGCTAGAATGTTTTCACCCACAGAGAGTAGAACATCAGCAGGTTATTTCTCCTGATGTGATGTTCCCCTAAACAAGGCTGTTAAAGATATATTAGCCACCACAGAAGTCCCATCTTTTAAGACCCTACAGACCGGGAAGCAGCAAGTTGCAGCTTCTGTTTATTTCAGTAAAAAGTCTGGCAGTAGCTTGTGGCTGCTGTCCCGATGAATGAGCACAAATGTTCTTGTTTTCTTGCCACTGCTGCAGAAGTTTTACTTGGTAAAACGTCAGCGAAGAAGCAGAGAAAACAACTGTGTGATTCTACTGCAGCAGTTGTCACTTTCCGGTCTGAAAAGGTCTTCACAGGCTGCTTCACCACCAGGAGGAAAAGTGTATAAACTCCTGCATTTCAGGGTGGGACTTCTCTACTTATGACCCTCCCTTCTTCCTCTAGTGTCCCAGAATGCTTTACTGATTATGGATATGGGAGCATGCACACATTCAAACCTGCCATGTTATCTCTCTTTCCCTCTCTACCTCTCTCTTTCCCCCTCATCACTCTCTTCCTTCGTCCCCACCCCCACCACCAATAATCAGCAATCAGCGTGAGCCCTCCACCAGCCAATCAAATCGCCCGGCCACCCTGCAGCCCTCAGGAACCTGCAGTCACATAGAGGAGAGAGCCAGTTACTAAAAGACACCAAGAACACACACACATACAAACATGATTGAGGTTGAGAAGGTAGGTTTTGTGTTCAGGAGAGACTGCCAATTCACTGGGATTTAAAGGAGAATTCAGGTTTTCCATCGGGGGTGAGGACAATTCACATTCAGAGTGGAAAAAAAGGAAGAAGATATTCTGCTTCTGTCTGTTTATGCCATTAGCGGTCAGAGCTGCTGGGACAATCCTTCTCTCTTTTTTTATCTTTAAGAAGACTACAGGCTTGTGGCCATGTAACATACTAACTTTTCATGGAGTTGTCAAGATGTTTCACTCGGTCTGGACTGAATGACAGTCTGACCAACATCACTGTCTCTACAAGTCTGAGACACAAGATGGATTTAAGACAGGCGTCTTAAACTCAAACTGGCTTGGGGCCACTGCTGGTACTGTCATCTCATCACTTGAATGTTCAAGTGCTTTAAGAAAGCACAATATTCTGAAAATATTTCCATTATTAACATCATACTTAACAGAATATGCAAACAACAGTTTCTATACGTTTTTATATCATCTTTAACCATTTTTGCAGGTACCTTTGCTATTAATTTGCATCAAATAAATTACATATTTAAAAATAGAATGGTGTTTTTATCCAAGGCTTTCATATATGCAGTACAGAATAAAACTAAAAGCCCAACATGTTGTAGATGGATTGAAACTGAATTGTCCTCAAATCCAGTGCTCAGTTTTGTGATGTTATGCAGAAACAATACAGCAGCAGGTTCATGAACCTTTGTTACATTTGGCAGCCTCCCCTTTAAACACATTTTACCAGTAACTATGTAAGAGCTGGCAGTAGCAACGTGTTCCAGTTAGCTGTTCTCTGCATACAGTCAGTGTATTTGGGTGCCATGATTCTGCAACCTTGTTTGTCCTACAAGGTGTTGGCTGCAATAATCACGCTTCAAACGTGACTATATTGAGATGGATGATGTTACTGTTAAAAACACCTGCAGAAGAGGATTAAACCATCATGGATATCAATGGAAACTAATGCTCAGAGTTGCTTTTAATCAGTGACTCAAACAATGACCATGAACAGTCAGTTAATGAGTGAAAGAGAACATCAAATACATAATTTGTCAGTAAGAACTATAAGAATTATTCTTACCGCCTCATTTAACTGCAGTGAAACCGTTTTCATACTGCACATCCTAACATATTCCTAACTTTACCTCCTAACTTGAAGTTTCTAAAGCTTAAAGAGTTACAGCTTGCTATATTTGATATTTTCTTTTTGTTAGAGAATATCATTAAAAAGACCAAACCCAACAAAGAATTGATCCTGCTAACCAAAATATAACATAAAATTGTAATGTTCTTCCTAAGGGTCTTTATGCAGATCATTATTTGCTATGTTTTGTCTTGTGACCCCTAAACTCAAGTCACTGCACAAGAGCACAAAAAGCATATTGGTTACAGCTGAAAATAGTCTCCAAAAAATGCATTACTTTTAACAGTTTCAGCAATTTTTGCTAAAACCTACAGTGACCAGCTGTTTTAGTGAAGGTTGAGTCTTTTTTTAAAATTAAACTATATATTTGTGACCTGTTTTTAAAGATTTACTTGGAGACCGACAGCTTAAGGAACTCCAAAAGTATTCAGAAACTTGGTTTGCTGGTTGATAATAAAGAAAAATACAGAATCAAATCAGCTTTACTCTTTGAAATGTCCATCTATGCTCTGAAAGTACACACTGCATCAAAAAGACTAAACTCCTGTAACAATGTTCAGTATGAAAACGGTCCCTCTAACAAGGCTGAAACCTTTATTAAAATAATTCAATCTTTAGTGTGATGGCACAAGTAACACAGAAAAATAATTGTGCAGGTACACACGCGCGCACACACACACACACTGCAATCAGACAGAAATAACAAAAGATGAAATCAGAACATCTTCAAATTATGTCGACACATGAATCCAAAGAGCTTAAAATCAGGGAGCTTTAAACGTCTCCAGTTTAAAAACATCAAAATAATTAACAAGTAAAAATAAAAATAAATTTCTAATATATTACATTAAACAATCTTAAACACTTTGATCGAAGTGGTGTAGCCTTGATGCTGGGCTCAAAACAGCAGTAGAGACATCTTTCTCACGCACATACATACACACACGCGCAGAGAGACCTCATATACAAACCACTCAAACACCATCAAATAGGATTTTCCTATTTGCCTTTGTGCTCAAACACTCACCTCTGAAACATCAGTCCCACAGATGTGAGAGCGAGATGAGGATGAATGATTACGGGGTTAGAGGAATAAACAGGAGGAGGATGGGGAGAAAATCAGAAAAGGGAAACACATGAATGTCCATGCAGGTGTGCAGATGCTGTCTTTTTTCCTTTTTGTAGTGTTATTTTGAGGGACAGAGAGAGCAGGGGTGGAGAGGATGACAGACGGATGAGAGGACAGTGTAGCTTCAGATGTAAGTGACAGCACCTTTGCTGTTTTTCTCCATGGTGATTTCTACGTAGGAGGTGGGGACGTAGCCCTCCTCGCCGCTCTGCTTCCTCGCCCTCGTCCAGCCGTCGCCTTTATCCTCCTCGATGATGTATAGCACCTGCAATGGAAGAAAATATGTTAGTCGGATCAATTCATTGCTGTTACTGTCTGCACACGGCCTTATTATTTTAAAATGTGTAAGAAAACACGAATATAAAAAGGTCCAGTGTGTAACATTCAGGAGGATCTATTGGCAGAAATTGAATATAATATTAGCCCAGAAGAGACAAACCAAACACTGGCTCTAGATAGGGCCTTTTATGTTTCTCTCCTATTGCAATCTGCAATCTGACCACTAGATGCCACTAAATTCTACACACTGGTCCTTTAACAAAATGAGAAACAAGCATTACCTCGTCTTCTGCCATCACCAGCGTCCCCTCGTTCTGACCTAGGAGTCAAAGAAACCACAGTCACATTAAACACACACCAAGGTTAGCTTAAAGGTGGT